AATTCCTGCTTCACAAAAACGGCTGTCACATACTGGGCCAGAAGGCTGAAGATGGGGAGTCCAAAGTTCCAGAGAAACTTCTGGGACTGTCCAGGCAGCCAGCTCTCCTGTCTTTTCTGTAGTTTTGGAAGCTGCTTGCTCTGCACTTCCTGCGTACTCAGGTAATAGTTATTCCTCCTCAGGTCTCTGATGGGGTTGAAGACTAGATAATTTAATTTCAACGGCCAGCTTCAACATCACAGGAGGGTCAAGTGTGATGTCAGCAATGAGTTACTCAGCAGACTTCTTTTGAGGGAGCAAAACTCAATTCTCTGGGTCCAGCAAGAAAGGGGGATCTCTCTCTCTCTCTCTCTCTCTCTCTCTCTCTCTCTCTCTCTCTCTCTCTCTCTCTTTCTCTCTCTCTCTCTCTCACACACACACACACACACACACACACACACACACACACACACACGGTGCATGAAGCAATTTCCAACAAGGTCCAAACCCTTCATGCATACATATATGCGGGTCAATGCTCGCACCCGGGGGTCGCGGGTGGCGGCGTGGGCGCCACCCGGAGCGGGTGGGGGCCGTCTCGGGAACTGAGGCTCTCAGCACTCTCTGTTGATGATTCGGTCTTGGCCGCAGGGTGGTGTTTGAACAGTCCACATGCTGCCTGCGACCGCAGGGTCCCGGGAGCAGGGACACCGGGCACGCAGGACATGGCGCGGGCCAGGGGCCCCTCGAAGGCGGTGCCCTTAGGTAATACGTAAATCTTGAGGCAGAGACCTGTTAGTCTCGTGCCTTACGTGACCTGGCAAGGGGGCTGTATGTTAGGTCTCTGGGTTCTGGGAGCGTGGTCGAACACCCAGAATTCCACAGACCCACACATATACATACATAACATATACATACATAAATACAGACATCCATACTTATACACAGACAGACAAACACATTGGATGAATAGATCAAAGCTCCAACAACTTCAATTTCTCCCTTAGCCCTTTTATACCCACTAAGACAAAGTTTTCTATGTAAGAAGAAAATTACCTCATAGCCACAAGTTATATATTCTCAAAAAAAAAAAAAACCAAAAACAAAAACCAATCACCACCAAAACATATTCTTCAGAAACAGATTAAAGTCATTACACAAAAGGAAATTACAGCCGGGCGGTGGTGGTGCACGCCTTTAATCCCAGCACTTGGGAGGCAGAGGCAGGTGGATTTCTGAGTTCATGAGTTCGAGGCTAGCCTGGTCTACAGAGTGAGTTCCAGGACAGCCAGGGCTACACAGAGAAACCCTGTCTCAAAAAAAAAAAAAAAAAAAAAAACAAAAAAAAAAAAAAAAAAAAGGAAATTACAACAGGATTATTGGTTATGTATTCTTCTTTAAAGACTGATAATGAACTAAACATTTCCCATATATCTTTCTCGCCACAAGTTTATTGTAACCCCAAAGCAATAATTCTTTTGTCGTAGATTAACGGAGTTGACACGAGCCAGTCTAGGAAAGCAAGAGTTCTCCATGCTTAGCTAACAATTTGTTTTCAGTATGAAACGGATCATCTTCTACATTAGGTCTTCTTTTTGAAGTCTTGATCAGCTAAATTGGCTAATCATCTGTTTTCTTACATTCACAATGAAATTGTGAACTCTTTGTTTGTGACCTTCCTCTTCATGGTACACACTAAAACCTGTGACCACATGCCTAGATCAGAAGATCCAGGAACTCAAACCCAACCTGAATGACTGGCTGTCCTGGAACTCTCTCTGTAGACCAGGCTGGCCTCGAACTCAGAAATCCGCCTGTCTCTGCCTCCCAAGGGCTGGGATTAAAGGCGTGGGCCACCACCGCCAGGCTGGGGACGTTGTATTCTTGATTCTAACTTTACACTTTGTATCAACTACCCTAACTACCCAAAACAATTTAAATCGCAGTAATGTCATAAAACTACTTAAGTCGGGGGTTCCATAAAATCACTAATTCATCTAAACAGCATTATCTCATGAAAGTTCGTCTTCACGTGGATCTGCAGGAAACCTGCCCAAAACACTGACGCATCGCCCAGGAAGTAATCACACCGGTCTATAAGCAATGAGGGTCTCTTCACGCCCAACCACACCAGGTCCGATATGTGAGAAATATAGCAAGGACAAACACGACAAGGCACATCAGTAGCACGAAGCAATCCTGGGACAAAGCCTGTGGGACTGAGCTTCTCCAGGGTACACCCATCACAGAAAAATTGTGGGCAGCCACCAGGAAGCTCACTTGCCTGCTGCAGCTCTTCCTGCATGGTGTCTGCCAGCTGTCATCTCCCAGTGTTGCGGGAGATATTTAAAACAGCGGCATTCAATCTGGCTTTTCTTAATCAGCCACCATGTTCCCAACTAGCCTAGGCCTGCAGCCAGGAGCTTACCGCCGCTGCTTAGCTCAGGCGGTCAGAGACACCGGCCCTGCCACCTGTGAGATGCCAGCATGGGAGATGGCTCTGCCAATTCACGAGGGCCCGGTAGGAAAAGAGACTCTAATGCTTAAATATTAATCAAAGGCTTTATATGTTTGATAATGCTCAATAACAATTTGCCCATACAATTAGAGGTGTTTCCCAATTAACCAACCTAAATATAAGTTGTTACCGGTGACTGCTCTCCATCCAGGCGTGGTTCTCCATCGCTCCTACCTCTCTGCCTCCCTAGCTCCTCCTCCTCTTCCTCTCCTTACTCCTCCCACCTTAGCTCCTCCTACATCCCAATTCAGTTTAAGTTGTCTAAGAATTAAGAAAATATTCTGAAAAGATATTTTTAGGTATAAGTAGAAATTTTTTTTTGGTTGATAAATGCCAGCTTTGATGAAAAATGATTTAAGTATGGAACTCTGAGCTCATCAAGATAGGATAGATAGCAGAGTGCTTTCTCCCAAGTTTCCAAATACAAATGGACCGGGCATTATTAATGCAATTCTTACCTGATAGCTTTTTATAATTGTTTAATAATGTTCTTACTGTATATAGTTTATTGTTATAAGAAAAAGAGGCTTTCATCGGACTCAAAGGGGAGATGTTGGAGGAGAGTCTTGTACATTATATTGAGACGCTGATTTCTGTGCCTCAGAACTGGTTACAGTGCGGAGACAGGAAATGTAATAACTACTGAAACATGTCCTGTATCAGTGTGATGTAAAGAACGTTCCCCAGTCATCTCTGATTGGCTAGGAAAATGCTCAGCAGCCAGTGACTAGGCTGAGGATATAGGAAGGCTGAACTTCCAATCCAAGCCAGGGGCCTGAGAAAGAGGGGGAGGAAGAAGAGGGCTACAGGTCAGGTGAAGAAGATGAACAGAGCCACCATCGTGTCGGGCAGGAGGCAGATGTGCCAAGGGAGTGCTCCTTCAGAACAGATGGCTACAGGAGAGCAAGCTAAGGTGAGACTAAACGCAAGAAACTTGTGTGTGGCTGGGAAGAAGCTAAGATAGCCGAGAGGGTTGGGAATATTTGCTCAATTATTGTGCTTAAAGCTTGTTGAATAAATCCACAGGGCTCTGTCTCAAGTGTTTTGGGGGATAGTGGAGTTAGAAAAAAAAAAAAACCCTGCCAGTTTTAAATTTCATCCTATAGATGAGCTTCTCTTTGGGAGATCAATGATCTTCTTTTCTTTATCTTTGTGTCCTGAGTATGGATCGATGTAACTGTCAGCTACCATGCCTGCTGCTGCTGCCACGCTCCTGCCGTAATAATGTACTAAACCTCTGAAACTGTAAACAAGTCCCTAATTAAATGTTTCCTTGTATAAGATGTGGAGAGGTTTTGGGGCTGCTTGGCAGAAATCTGACATTGGCCAAGGACAAGGAAATGGGCTTTAGGCAGGAATCTGACTTTGGGCCATGACAAGGAAGTAAGTTCAGGCAGGAATCTAATTTTAGGCTAAAATAGAGAAGAAATTTCAGTCAGGAATCCTAGTCTTAGGCTAGAACGAAGAAGTAGGCCTCAGGCATGAATATGACTGTGGGCTAGGACAGGGAAGTAGGCGCAGATACTTTGTCATCCAGATGAGCCCTTAGAAACAGTGATCATGAGAGTGATCACGGGGTGATCCCGGGACTCTGTATATTGCCTTGTTTGTTCCTTGACTGTTTGTTTCTATTGTATTGTTGGTTCCTCAATGTAGAACTGACCTAAATACTTCCATGTAATTAAAAGGGTTTAAAAGAAATGGGGGATTAAACAAACCTGCCTCAGCCCTCAGCCTCAGAACTGGCTGGGGTCATGCTGCAATTTTGTCTAACCGTCTCTTTTCTTTTACTCCTCACTCCTGCGCTGGAGAACCTGTTGACTGACTGAGCCGGTTTGGTCAATAAGAGTTGCCTTGGTCATGTTGTTTCTTCACAGCAAGAGAACAGTGACTCAGTTAGCCTGTGTTCTACCACTAGGTCACTCCCCAACCCCTCACTAGGGGAGTCTGGGCAGGTGCTTTACAATTGAGCCAGTCTCCTACGCCTCAAAGGGAGATTCTATGTAGAAACTCTGACTCTGCCGCAGAATTAGACAACTGCAGCTGTGCACGTTACCTGTTAGCTTTTATAATGCAATATAATACGGGATGGCAATTTAAAAAAAAAAAATCCACAGACAGGCCTGATGGCCTTTAATCCCAGCACTCGGGAGGCAGAGGCAGGCAGATCTGTCCGTTCGAGGCTAGTCTGTACTACAGAGGGAGTTCCAGGACAGCCAGAGCCACACAGAGAAACCCTGTCTCGAAAAACAAAACAACAAAAACAAAGAAGTATCTATAGGTGTCTTTCATGGAATTTCAGAAATGAATAAGCTGAAAAGCAACACAGGAGCGCGAGCTACCGACCTCACACTAGTTAAATCGGTTCACTGAAGCCTTGCCATTCTGGGGACTGTAGTCCTCAGAGGGTGCAGCCGCTGAGGAATTCTGGGAATTGTAGTTCTGACAGCAAAGGCGGCCGAGGTCGTTTCCGCTCTTGGGAGGGGAGGCTGCTCGTGAGTGTTTCCTGTGAGGTGAAAACCTGCAGAGTGGTGTGGCGCTTCGTTTGTGCCAGTGCTCCTGATGTATCCCCTCAGTGGCCGTCTGCGGCCTGGGAGAAGCAGAGCATCCAGGTCTTCTCTGCATCCGGGCCCTCTCTAGCTGGGCTCTGTCTGAGGCGGGGCTACCGTACGCGGACCCATCTCAGCAGCTTGCAGAGCCCCGGGGAGAGTCTAGCTTCCCAGGGGAGCCTGGCGGAGGAGCTGTGATGACAAATGGCCAGTGTCCTGAATCCTTAAGTGGTACGCAAGTCTACTTTTTACGCCATTTCCCCCATGAATTTATTTATTAAAGAATATTTTTATTTTAGTAAATAAATTGGTTTATTTAATAATTAAAAATAAGTACATAAAGGAGTATGTCCAAAGACAACTTGTGGGAATCTGGTCTCTCTTTCCCCCCGAGTGGTGCCCAGAGACTCAAATTCAGCAGCAGTTTCTTTTACCCGCTGAGCCGTCCCATAGGACCAAATTCCCCTTTCCTTAGAGAGGGTTTAGGGTTTTTTGTTTGTTTGTTTGTTTAGTTTTGTGTTTTGTTTTTCTAAATTGGCCATTATCTTCATGAACCTCGGAAAAGAGACTTTGTAGGCTTCTGTAGATGAACGTTTGCTAGTAATTAAGCCTTTAAGAACAAGACACCGAAGAGGACAATATCATTCTTATGTTTGGAAACCATAGTATGTAAGATAGCTGTTACAATTAACAGACTCTTCTAAGAGTAGTCATAACACAGCATTCAATCAGAGACTTCGGCGCTTCTTAAGCGTTTGTTTTTCTGGGAAACCCATCACCACAGGCAGCATTCTGAAGGCAGGCGTGCACTGCATCCCTGGAGCTGCCAGAAATAGAGAAGGTGGCTTTCCTAACACCTTGCTGTGAGTGAGGTGAGGCATGGGTGGCCTTGTAACCTGGAGGCTCACACCACCGATTAGCAGGAAGTAGGGAGAAAAGCCTGGTCAGCGAGCACAGCCCTTGGCGCTGATGGAGAAGCTGAGGAAGCCTTGTGGCCCGACTGTCCTAGCAATGTTCTCATGAAGCCCTTCCTCCCCCAGCTTGCTTCCCAGAGCCCTGCCTTGTCTCAAAGAGAAGAGAACAATGACCAAGTTACAGGTAAGTCGGCTTGCTTCCACCATTCCCCACAGAGCTGGGGACTGGAAACAGGGCCCCTGCATGCTGGGCAAGCGCTCGCTCTGCAGCCGAGCCTCTCTGAACTGCGTGGAGTAAGAGGGGAAGTTGCTGAGAAGAAAGGTCTGGAAGGAGGAGGGATAAGAGAGGACAGTGGGGACATGTGCTCAAAGTGCACTGCACACGGGAAAGTGTAAAAGGATGAATAAAATATATTGAATTAGAGAAAGTGGGCTGGAGAGGTGGCTCAGTAGTTAAGGACACTGGCTCAGTTTGTTCCCAGCACCCACACCTGACACTTACAGCTGCCTGTAACTCCAACTCCGGGGGATCCAGCGCCCTCTTCTGGTCTCCCAGGGCACCTGCACACATGTACACACAGACACAGGGCATGCACATACATAAAAAAACTTTTTTAAAAACAGATTTATATGAGTAGACTGTAGCTGTCTTCGGACACACCAGAAGAGGCCATTGGATCCCATTACAGATGGTTGTGAGCCACCATGTGGTTTCTGGGAATTGAACTCAGGACCTCTGGAAGAGCAGTCAGTGATTTTAAACACTGAGCCATCTCTCCAGCCCATAAAAAAAACCTTTTAAGTTCACTAACATTTTTAAAGTAGCATCATTTTCCGTGGCTCGCTGAGTTGTATTTTGCAAATCAGTATGAATTCTCCATACTGTGATTTATGAATTCTTGTTTTGTTTTGTTTTTTTGTTTTTTCGAGACAGGGTTTCTCTGTGTAGCCCTGGCTGTCCTGGAACTCACTCTGTAGACCAGGCTAGCCTCGAACTCTTGAACTCAGAAATCCGCCTGCCTCTGCCTCCCAAGTGCTGGGATTAAAGGCGTGCGCCACCACCGCCCGGCGTGATTTATGAATTCTTATTATTTTGAAATTTTGTATTATTATTGCGTGAGGGGGTTGGTTGCAAGCACGCAAAATCATGTTATGTTGACTTCAGAGGACAGCTTTGGGGAGTCTGGCTTTCTCCTCTCACCTTGCTGAAGCATGTTCTCCTATTTCTGTGATTCTCTGGAGACAGGCACATTGGCACCCATCCTAGCTTATTTGGCAAGTTCCAGGCCAGGGAAGACACTGGCTCAAAAACAAAACAAAAAAAGATGACCAGGACCTGAGGAAGGACATCAAAGGATGTCCTCTAACCTGTACATGCATGTGTACCTTTATGTACATATATGTACACTTACATGCATGCACACACACATATATATATACACACGTGCACACAGAACACTGGTCACCCTCACCTCCTGCACTGGCATCCTGAACATTAATTTCCTGAACAACCATGGAGGGTCTGGCTGCCGCCAGGCTTCTGTGGTTGACCCAACTCGGGTGATGAAGGAATGAAGAAAGGACAGACTCACAGACATATATACAGACAAGCTGGAGTTGAATGAGCCCTGTGCTCTGATGGAGACACATCAGCAGTGTGGAAACTCCGCTCGTGTATTAGACACCGCTGTGCACCCGGGAGGCATGATTCAGGAAACTGAAACATGAACACTAATGCAAAGGGGTGTGTTTTACATGGTGTTCAGCCAAGCTTTCCAGCTACACAATACTGTCAGCTCCAGGGAGTAGATGCTTGTTCTGATAACAACTATGGTAATTTTTTTCCAGTTAATTTTTAGGCAGTAAGTGTTCCTATTTCTCTATATTCTGGCCTAAACTTGGCAGTTTAAAAAAAAAATCTTCAGTACTTTGGTAAGTGATTAAAAATAGCAGTTTGTCTGAAACTTTCACTTAATTTAATTTTTGTTTTAAATTTACTGTTTTTATATGGACAGTATATGGCCATGACTGCCATAATACAGACAATGATGACAGTGTTGTTAGACATATACTGGCTGCTTGCTGCATATCATAGTGTTCTGGGTCCTTTCTGTGACCTCATTTAATCCCTTGAGGAACACTGGGAGAGGAAGGAGCCTCAGTTTAGGAAATGCTTTCATAAGACCCATCTGTAAGGCATCTTCTAATCATCAGTGTTAGAGGGCCCAGCCCACGGTAGTTGGGGCCATCCCTAGGCTGATAGTCCTGGATTCTATAAGAAAGCAGGCTGAGCAAGCCAATAAGCACCACCCCTCCATGGCATGTGCGTTAGTTTCTGCCTCCAGGATGCAGCCCTGTTTGAGTTCCCGTCCTGACTTCTTTCAGTAATGAACAGGAATATGGACATGTAAGCCTAATAAACCCTTTTCTCCCCAACTTGCCTGTTGGTCATGGTGTTGTGTTCCAGTAATAGAAACCCCAACTAGACCATAGACGCTGTGTGAACACATGCTCAGGTCCTAGTGACATCGGGAATGGAACTGAAGTGTCATGTGTTTGCTGTCACAGGAGGCAGTGACGTTCAGGGATGTGGCCGTGTTCTTCAGTGAGGAGGAGCTGAGGCTGCTGGACCCCGCCCAGAGGAAGCTGTACCACGATGTGATGCTGGAGAACTTCAGGAACCTCCTGGCAGTGGGTGAGGACGATCCCCTGTGTCCTTGGCAATGTCAGAAGCTCACATCCCGTGTCTGTTGCATTCCACTGCTTTCCTTTTAGGTTTATTTACTTTGTATTTTATGTATATGTGAGTGTTTTGTCTGCATGTGTTTCTGCACCACATTCACTCGTGATGTCCACAGAGGCCAGAAGAGGGCATTAGGTCCCCTGGATCTGGAGTTACAGATGGTTGTGAGCCACCATGTGGGTGCTGCGAACCCACCCTGGGTCCTGTGGAAGAGCAGCCAGTGCTCTGAATTGCTGAGCCATCTCTCCAGCCTCCACTTTATATTTTTTGTTTGGTGGCAAGGTCTTGCTCCATAGCCTCGGCTTACCCAGAAATTTGTGATTCCCCTACCTACGCTTCCCAAGCACTAGGGTGACAGGCTTTGTCCACTGTGCCTGACAAAGCTCATGCTCCTGGGACCTCACCCTCCAGCCCTGCTGAGCTCCAGTTCTTTTCCTGCTTCTATCTTTGTGTCCCAGGTGTTGTCCTTTGCATCTCTCTGGCTACAATGCTCCTCCCTGGTAGAACTCCTGTCTCTGTCTGTCTATCTCTGTTTATCTCTCTCCCTGTCTCTCTGTGTGTATATGAGTGTTTGTGTCTGTGTCTCTCTATCTCTCTCTCCGTGTCTGTCTGTCTGTCTGTCTCTCTGTCTCTCTCTGTCTCTCTCTCCTTCTCTCCCTTCCCATTCCCCTCCCCCTCCCCTCCTCTGCATCCATCTGCTCGGAAGTCCTCCCAGGCCCTGCTTTACATGTGTCTCCCGCTCACTCTCCCTGTTCTGCACTTCCTCCCTTCACTGGTGTCCGAGCATCACCACAGCTGTTACCACAGATGAGTGCTTTCTCCCCATTATCCTTCTGCACAGCTATACACAGGCTCTGCAAGTCAGATGCTCAGCACAGGCTGAGGAAACCTTGAACATTCATTCCTGGGCTCACCCCAAATTTCCCACTGTGGTCAAATGTTGATTGTTCTTTGTCTTCGATTTTTGTTCCTCAGAGCTCTCAGACACTCAACTTTGGCAGTGATCTCTAGTTGATGTTTCCAGAAAGAAATGAGGACTTGGACCTTTGATGTCCCCATCTGTGCTGATACCATCTTCTATTCTCTATTCTTTCAGGATGCCAGAGTCGAAATAAGATGGCGCCTCTTGATGCAACAGGAATAAGATGCCTTTCACTGGGGAAGCTTCCGTGCTGGCAAATGACAGACCATGATGTCAACAAACCGGCCAGAGCTCCAGAAGCTGTAATCAACACTCAAGGAAAGAGTTCTCACTTCCTGGAGCAATGCCGCTCCTCCTGCCATGAGGGAGCAGAACAGCCTTCTCAGGCCTCCGAGAATGATGGCTGTCTTGAGAGTCTCACAAGCAATCATTCCAGCATTAGTGAAAATCAGAAATTTCTGTCTGGGAGAGATCAGAGTTCTTGGAGTAAAACACATCTTAGTGAGAGGTGGAACCATGGGAAACACCATCTGCAGACTCTTGTGAAAACCAAGCCCCAGCTGTTGGCTCCAGGTGTTGACATTCTGGGTTGCATTTCCCACCATTATAACAATATACCACATAAAGGAGACAAAATCCACAGCAGCAATGACTGGGATGAAGTCATCTTTCCTGTGACACTCCTCACTCAGGGTTGTGTTTACAGAGAACAGAAGGCCTACCAGTGCAGCGAGGGCCAAGAAGCCTTCAATGACAGCCCTAGTCTGGAACTTCATCAACAGAGCCTCTTAGGAAAGAAGTCTTCTGTATGTAGTACTCACAAGGACACTAGGCATAGCTCCAGTGTCCCCACTCAACAAAGCATTCATCCAGGAAAAAAACGCTACTGGTGTCAAGAGTGTGGCAAAGGTTTCAGTCACAGCTCAACTCTTCAGACTCACCAGAGAGTGCACACGGGGGAGAAACCCTACTGGTGCGACAGCTGTGGGAAGGGCTTCAGCCGCAGCTCTGATCTCAGCATCCATCGCCGAGTACACACAGGAGAGAAACCTTACAAGTGTGAGGTGTGTGGGAAAGGCTTCACACAGTGGGCACACCTCCAGGCCCACGAGAGAATTCACACAGGAGAGAAGCCATATAAGTGTGGAGACTGTGGCAAACGGTTCAGCTGTAGCTCAAACCTTCACACCCACCAGAGAGTCCATACCGAGGAGAAACCGTACAAGTGTGACGAGTGTGGGAAATGCTTCAGCTTAAGTGGCAACCTAGATATCCATCAGCGGGTCCACACAGGAGAGAAGCCATATAAATGTGAAGAGTGCGGGAAGGGTTTCAGTTCGGTCTCAAGCTTCCAAAGCCACCAGCGGGTCCATACAGGGGAGAAGCCGTTTCACTGTGATGTCTGTGGGAAGAGCTTCAGTCGGAGCTCTCACTTTCTAGATCACCAGAGAGTTCACACTGGGGAAAAACCATACAGATGTGATGTGTGTGGGAAGCGCTTCCCCTGGAGCTTGAGCCTCCACAGTCACCAGAGTGTCCACACTGGAGAAAAACCATATAAATGTGAGAAGTGTGGGAAGGGCTTCAGTCAGGCCTCAAGTCTGCAGGCCCATCACAGTGTCCACACTGGTGAGAAACCATTCAATTGCAGTGTGTGCCAGAAGCAGTTCAGCAAGGCCTCAAACCTCCAGGCCCACCAGAGGGTGCACACAGGGGAGAAGCCCTACAAATGTGACATGTGTGGGAAAGCCTTCAGTCAGAAGTCCAGTCTCCAAGTCCATCAGAGAATTCACACTGGGGAGAAGCCATTCAAGTGTGAGGAGTGTGGGAAGGAATTCAGATGGAGTGTGGGGCTCACTGCTCACCGGAGGGTCCACACGAGAGAGAAACCCTACACGTGTCAGGAGTGTGGGAAGGGTTTCAGTCAGGCCTCGTATTTCCATATGCACCAGAGGGTCCACACTGGATAGACACCCTAAATCTGCAGCATCTGCTGTAAGGGCTTCAGTCAGAGATCACATCTTATCTTCCACCAGAGGGTCCACACTGCATGGAATCTTTAGTTTCTGCTGTCAGGTGGGCTCTACGTTGCTGATTGTTAAAAGTGCCCCCCAAAACACAGAGGCTTCAGGAGACTATATACGCTCTTTATTTTGGTATTTTTGCCCTTAATTTAATCTCCTACTGTACTCCTTATGCAAAAGGAAGATAGTGTTTTCAAATGGATTTTCTTAGCATACAAATAAAGAATTTAAAAAAGGAATATAGAAAAGGATTCTGATTTGATTATGAAAAGAAAAATTGGCAATTGTGGGAAACAGACCCAACAGGAATTATAAGGCATCGTACTAATGCTGAGTATATCATTATTAGCAATCAATAAAGACTGGCAAAGAGCTTGTAGCAACTGTTTGCGCGAAATTAACAACAAATACCCTAAAAGCAAGTCACTTCAACTTACAAAGTAATTGGGTTCACCCTCATATTGTAAAAAGAACACAGATTCCTGAAGTCCTTACGTTTTATATTAATGCAAAATAAGTTGGGAATGGCTGGTTATAATTCAGGAAAAAAAATTGGCAAAGTCATTCAAAGCCCGTACCTTTCAGTTCCAACATCAGAGTTCTATGACACTCTTATGGTATTATTAGATTTTCTTGAATCTCTTCATATAGTTACTGCTCTCAATTTGCAGAAGTGTTGTTTGGTATATAGAAACTGCTGAACTTACTCATTATGACCAAAATTCACTTCACTGTTTCTTCAACTACAAAAAGGACAGAGAAATTCTCCATTGTATGTAACACATGTCAGATTCCACACAGGCCCTCTAGCACAAGGTAACGATGAAACTGTTCACCTGTTGATGGGGAATGTACTAGAAGCCTCAAATTTTCATAAGAAACACCATGGTAAGAGTAAAGGTCTAAAGGGGCATTTTTCTATCGTTTGACAAGCCAAGGAAATTATAAGAAAATATCCTATTTGTACTTTATATAACCAAACTCCATTACTTGCAGGGAGTAACCCGAAAGGTACCCAAAGAAATTAAACTTGGCAAATGGATGTGTTTTGTTTCCCAGAATCTGTAAAATTAAAGTATGCATACCATACCATATTCAGGATATCAATAGGCAACCGCTTTAAGTTCTAGAAACTTGGTTCTGTAATTGCACATTTATTTGAAGTTATGGCAATTATGAGAATACCTGGGCAGATTAAAATGACATGTACACGTCTCTAGTGAAATGAAGCAATTTTTAACAAATCATAATAGGAAGCATATTACCCGTATACCACACAATGCCATACAACAAGCAGCTGTAGAGGGGTCCAATTGTGCTTTAAAAGAGATGCTGAGCAAACAGAAATGGGTGACAAAGACTCCCAGGGACACATCACATAATGCTTCATTAACTTCAAATTTTTTTAAATGCTAATGATAAAAAACCAAGAGCAGCTGAGAGACCATGGATTATAGAAAAAAAAATGCTGAACTAAATCAGCCTGTTTATGTTAAGGATGACGTAACTTGAGAATGAAAGACAGGCAGTGTGTTACGCCAGGGAAGAGGTTTTGTATATGATTCACTAGGAGAAAAAAAATGGTGGATTCCATTGAAACTTATAAAAATCAGATTCGATAGGGGGATATCCCCCTATAGATCTTGGTTGCAGACATAAAGAAATCAAGAGGACCAATAACAGGTAACACACTGCTGATCCCTCTACAAGGGAACAGCCCTGATACCGGCTGAGACATGAAGATGTCTCCTGCCAGAACTTGAGCTATGCATAACTGATAAATCTTGTTGGCTACTAAATCCTCAGGACTTGTCATGCCGTCTGTTCATATGGCATGAATGAAAATTTATTACAGTTTGATTATTGTGGAGGTTTGAATAGGTTTCGGTTTCATAGACTCTATGTGTCTTTGAATGCTTGGCCCATGCGGAGTGGCATTATTAGGAAGTGTGGCCTTGGAGTAGGTGCAGTCTTGTTGGAGGAAGTGTGTTGGGGTGGGGGGAGAGTCAGCCCCGGTTTGGTGGGGAAGAGTCTTCTTTCTTCTTGTTGGTTCTTAAGGCAGCCGAGGAGGAAGAGCGTCGGTGGGGGGTAAGACTTGGTCTTACAAGATATTTAGGGTTGCTGTATAATAAAAGTTTACTTATCTATTCTAGAAAAGTTTACTTACTATGCTACTGTAGCTGACCTGCCCTCTGGTATCCTCTGAGGCCTGAAACTGCAGTTTCTGGCACTTAGTACCTCAGCCCCAAAACAGCAGAAGATTAGGCAATGTGGCCTTTGTTCTATCTCAGCAGGAACTGCTGGGCTCTAACTTATGCCTGTTAGTCTGGAGTCACAGGAAGAAAAAACACTTAGAGAAGTTATTATAGAGTTTATTACTAAGTGTAAAAAGTTTCCTATGAAAGCTATCTAAGGGGAAAAGTGGAAAGGTCCTGAGTGGGGAAAAGGAAAAAATTCTAATAAGGGAAAAGTTCTAAGGGAAAGAATTCTAGGCAGGGGAAAAGGAAAGGAAGGGACGAACGGCTACTACTCCTATGACTACTACTACTTTGTTTTTGTCTTCAGTATTTATGCATCTTTCAGAGTACATGATCACATGTTACAGAGTTCATCACAAGTTCACACCAAAAATCAAATCATGAGTCGAAATAGAAGTTTACAACAGATAATGTCTACATGCATATCCACTAGGAGTAATTATCTGGCTAAACATCCATCACCTGTCTAGCTCCACAGGTTCACTGAAGGTTTAAAACTATAACTAAGAAATTAGTGAAGTTTTGTATAGATAAACCCAGGCAATATTTTATCTTCTGTCCCAGCACCTATAATAAATCATGAGTTTGGCCTGGAGAGATGGCTCAGCAGTTAAGAGCACTGACTACCCTTCCAGAGGTCCTGAGTTCAAGTCCCAGCAACCACATGGTGGCTCACAACCATCTGTAATGGGCATCTGCTGCCTTAAGACAGCGACAATATATTGACATACATGAAATAAATAAATAAATCTTTAAAAAAAAATAAATCATGAGTTCCCTTTTAGTGACCTTTGGTTAATTGTTTTACAACCTCTTAGGATGTGCTCTGAGCAGGAGAAAGTCTGGTTACTATCTAAGAGCAATTAGCTGATGACACTTGGGAAACTGGCAGAGTTCTCATAGCAGTTTTGACTATCAGAAAGGGACCTAATAGCAGTCCCACTATAAAAGAGCTTAATAATCTTTGGTATAATTTTAGGAATTCTTACAGGATCATCATTAAGATTTAAGAAGTCCTCTATTTGTCTATATAGCATCACTACAAGACAGTACATCTTCGTGGGTCTGCAGAGATCTGCTCCAAAGGGGAGTGCTGTTGCTTAGTGATTGTTACATATGTTTAATAATAATAATAATAGGAAAAGCATATTAGTAGCAGAAATCTTTCCTAAAATAAATCCCTTACAGCCTTGCTGAATAAGCGCTCACTTGTCACAGATTATATAATAATCTGAGGCAAGCATTTCAGGGTGATCACCTGCTAATTATTAGCTTGTCCCATTATGGCTCCTGACAGTGTGTCACTGTGGGATGGGCTTTGAAGTGTCCTATGCTCAGACTCTTCCCAGTGTGGATAAGAGCCACTTGGTTGCTTGCTGATGGACAGTGCCCTTCAGCTACCTTTGGATCGAGATGTAGAACTCTCAGCTCTTTCTTCAGCACCATATCTGTCATGCTTCCTGCCATGATGTTAATGGACCGAATCTCTAAAACTGTTAGCCAGCCCCAGTTAAATGTCTTCTTTATAAGAATTGCCTTTGTCACAGTGTCTCTTCAGAGCAATAAAACCCAAACTAAGACATAAGTTGGTTCGAGACACTGGTATTATTGTGATAGGCCTAACCATGCTTTTGGAGGAATGTGGAGTTGGGGACTTTGGAAAGCAGCAGAATACTTTAAGTGATGCTGAGGGTGATTTGAACTGTGGGGGCTCAAGAAGTTTCAGAGAACTTTAGTATGTGCACTAGAGACGGTTCTTGTGATATTTTGGTGAAGAATGTGGCTTCTTTTTGCCCTTGTCTAAAGAGTCTGCCTGAGGCTAAGATGAAGAAATTCAGATTAATTACACTGGGAAAGGAAATCTCAAAACAACCTAGTTTAGACTTTCTCCTGCTCCCTCACCTGTAGGCCCCCAGGAAAAAGGTAGGTCCAAATCCATAGCTCACACAACAGATCTGCCCGCCTCAGACTCCTCGGGCAATAGTCTCGAAGAGTGGGAGCTTCGTTTTCTGGATTATTCTCAGCATTTCATCTGAATTCATGAACATCTTCAAGCACATGTCAGGAGAAGGTCTGAGTTCTCAGAGGCTCACCCATGGGTGTAGGGATAATCTCTCCTGTACTGTGTTTATGCATCACCTGTCAAACAAAGGCCCATGACCTATAGGAAAGAGCAGAATAGAAGGTGGGACATCCGGCAGAGAGAGAGAGAGGGACGCTGGGAAAGAGTCGAATGTAGGACGATTCCTCCTGGACAGAGGAAGTCAAATGAATGAAACTGAGGAGAGATAACTACTAACCTTGTGTCAGACATGGGATAGAGTAGATGGGTTATTTAGTTATTCAAGCTAGTCACGGAACAAGCCAAAGCTTTTGGCCTAAGCTTTTATTAATCACTAAATAAGGTAGGAACTAGGGTGCAGGAGAAAAAACCGTGCAGTTACATATGGCGTCCAACATAAGGGGTCTTAGAAACCAGATTTATAGCCTGAGAATGCCCAGGTGGAAGGCCGGTTTTTGTTCGTTCGTGTTGTTTTTTTGTGTTGTTTGTTTGTTTTTTGTTTTTGTTTTTCGAGACAGGGTTTCTCTGTGTAGCCCTGGCTGTCCTAGAACTCACTCTGTAGACCAGGCTGGCCTCGAACTCAGAAATCCACCTGCCTCTGCCTCCCAAGTGTTGGGATTAAAGGCGTGTGCCACCACTGCCTGGCCTGTTTGTTTGTTTTTAACCTAAAAAAAAGCAGGGAAGGAGCAGGAAGCCTCAGTGAGGCAGTGTGGAAGGGAACTGTTTAAGATTCCCCTGCAGAGTAAAAACAAAACAAAAAACAAAAAAACAAAACAAAACCAGCTCTTTTACCAGAGCCCGAGAGCACAGTAGCAGTGGTACTCCCAAGCATGGCGAGCTCCAGAAAATGGACAAAGTGGGTTAAATGTAGCTAGGCAACCAGAAAGAAAACTGCAGAATTATTAATGGCTGATTACTGTGCCTTGGCAGATATAATCAGTCGACTATTCCTCAAGTGTGTCCTTTTCAGGACAGTATTTTGTCTGTAGATGAAAAGAGGCAATTTTTGCCTAGTGGCTGTCTCACCACAACTGGAGTAACTCCAAAGATGCTCAAATTCTTCTTAGAATCCAAGACAGGGAAGCTATCAGGAGTAGACAGGTCTCTAATCAAAATGAGCATTAATACAGACATGTTAGTAACGTCACTTCTGTGAACTTCTGACATTTTGAAAACCAACTATCCATGTAAGGCAATCTGGACTGCTGTCCCTTAACTACCCTCTGCTACTTCTAATTAAAATCTAGAAAACACCCTCACAATAAACTCAGAGCCATGCAATTGCTATAGGCCCTTAACTCACAGGCTAACCATCTCAAATCGGTTAAAAAAAAAGGCTGAAGAGAGACTGGGTCTAAGCCTTGTATTCCTGAATGTGTTATGTAGGCACAATGCCTATGAGAGTAACAATATTAATTTCACTTTTATATCAATAAGAAACTCATACCAATGAATACCTTAAATTTGAAATCAAAATAAATTTTGTACCATTTAAGAAACATAACTTTAGCTTAATAACAATTATATAAATTTCTACCAAATAGGTTATGGCTAAGTAATCAATTCTAACTATTCCTCTCTGTTCCAATAAAACCATTCCTTTTTGCTAGAAAGACAGCCCAATATTAACCACCTCAGCCCCCAAGCCCAGGGAATAGGGGCACCAACTCTTCATTAACTTTTTCAAGCTGATTATGGGTGTTGAGATATTAGAAGAGGGGTGGGGGAAGGGTAAATTGATAAGCTTCTGATGTCTGTGTCTTCACTGCATCCAGCTGAAATTCCAGGACATCAGAGGTTCGAGCAGGTCTGATCATGAATTGATTATGAATTGCACTGTGAAGTCAATGGCTGGGGTACAGCTCGGTGGCTACCGATGTGTGCTACA